GGGGGAGTAGAAATTCTCCTAGTCGCTTCATGCTACAGAAACCGGGATAAGCTCCGGCCTGATGGGCCACCTGGCTCGCATGCAGACTTTTTATTAATAATAATAATAATAATAATAATAATAATAATAATAATAATAATAATTTGGATGATTTTCTTGCGGCCGACATACAGCCAATTTCGCTATAAAAGTGTCCCGTGAAACTGGGGACGAGAATTGTGTTTGTGACGTCACAGTGTTAGATTACATTGTTGTCACGGGAAGCCGCCTTGTCATTTATCATGCACACGGCTTTAAATGTGCCAGTGATTTGCTAGCTAGTAACGTTAATTTTCGACCCATCTCATGCTTCAAACATTTCCCTTTGCTTTCAGCCACATAGGTATGTTTTTTCAAAAACTGTGACGTCACTGACGAAAATCATGTGACACTTTGACCGCGCGATCTCTGGGACGATTTCAACATGAAAGTAGCGCGTATTTTGAACGAAAAGAAGGGGTTTCAAAATATTCTCGCAATCTAAAAACTTTACAACCGTTTTTCTAACATTATTAACGACCAGAATCAGCGGAAAAAAAAATAGTGTCATATATTTTTTAACTCGAAATTTACAAAAAAAGAGCAGAGTTTCATTTCATTTCATTTTGTCGCTATTTTAGGGGGAGTGGGGTGGGGGCTCTCCTTATTTTCCACGTTCGCTCGCAGATTCGTTCTCATCGCGTGCTTTTTGGGGGAAAAGCTTGCTACGCAGGAAATCTTTCTAATTAGCAAACATAGCACGGCAGAAGTTGAAAAATCGATTTTTCTCTCTTTTTGTCCACAAATAGCCCTTTGGTAGATATGAAACGTGATATAGTTTTTTGGACTTCGAAGCGCTTTAAATTCGAGAAAATCGAGGAAAACGATTTTTGCCTTGACGGTCGTCAAAATGGCCGATCGCAAAGGCTTAAAATTAGTAATCTGAACTTTATTTGCGTTCGCGTGTAAAGGAAAACCAAAACTTATCGTTTTTTTTCTTGAAAGACAAAGTATTCAACTATCCAAACCAGGTTAGAACTTGACTTGAGCGCCATTTGAGAATAAACACACAATTAAAAAAAAAAAAAATCCCTTTCAGTTACTAGGTCGAATTCCTAATTTACGAATAAAATTCAGAGATATTTTTCGACATGTGCCATAACTCCAAATTCCTTGAAACTTCGCCTTTGGAGCACCCTTATGTTGTTGTACAACATGTATTAAAATCAGCTTGGGTTATTTTTCGAGTGCTTTTTGAGGTACGGCTGAAAAACTCCGATTTTACCTCAAAGATCACGAAAAGTAAACAATGGACTTCTGCGTGTTGGTCTGAGGGCAAGCGGGTACAGGCATTTAAGGTGATTCCTCACATTTGCATTGCGCATCCTTACTGCGCATAATTCATGGCGTCATTCGCGCCCGCTCGTGCACGCGCACGTTGAAAACATGGCGGATTTGCCTTGATATTGAGTTC